TATTGAAATGAGTTTTTTCTTGACTCAGAGTTCAGCAACTGTACTGAAATTTTCAGCATATTCTCTTGACATTATCTATTTTTAACCATTATAGCGCGAAGTGTCAGCTCTTTATCCAATCTTTCACAATAACACTTAACAATTGATTAGAATATACAATAAAACAAATTCAAAATTGGGCATATTACTTTATACTCAAATTACATTAATAATATGTACTTTCCGACCCAATTTCGTCTCTTCAAAAGAATAGAGCTAATCACCCTTTAAACAGTTCACTCATTGAACTATGTCTGGAATTACTTCTTTAAATCGAATAATGCCTAAAAGGAAGTTTAGTCTCCTTCAATTTTAAAATTCCTTGTTGTACTTATAACTTTGCCATACTTTCAAGTGCATAATTATTGCTGACATCAACATTATTGTCATCCGCCTTTCGAAGAAAGCAGGGAACTATTAAAATGGGCCTGTTCGTCTCTCTGTTCATCAAGCCATTTTGGACACAATAACTCCTCTTCTAATTGAGGTAGAATTTTTAAACTTGGTGTAGGTGTTGATTATGTGAATGGCTTGATGGAGTTCGAAGATGCGCATTTTATGTTTAGGATCAGCAATTTGATTGGTCATAATGTGGCCCAAAATATGACCTTTGTCACCAGTCTTACGCCAAGTTTGTTTAACTTTTGTCGCTCTTAAGTGATATTGTTGGCTTCCTGACTTCGTTAGCTAGCTTTTAGGCTTTGTTTCAGCTATAGACTCTAAATTTTAATTATGGTCACAAATTAGTGCTAATTAATTAGCTCTTAAGTAGCATTAGTACAGCATTCCATGCTCTTAAGCAGTCATTTTGTGCAGTGAAACTCATAGAAATGGTGTTAGAAAGAAAAATAATTCCGGACAAGACAATTTAATCAAATCCACTCAAACGTCATTGTGTGATCTAAAATTTGACCTTTGACACCTTTGAACCACTCTTAAGCAAGGTTTGTTCAACTTTTGTCACTCTTAAGTGATAGTTTTGGTTTCCTGACTTGGTTAGCTAGCTTTTAGGCTTTGTTTCAGTTATGGACTCTAAATTTTAATTACGGTCATTCGTTAGTGACCTTTGACCTTTGAACGAATCTTAAGCAAGGTTTGTTCAACTTTTGTCGCTCTTAAGTGATATTTTTGGTTTCATGACTTGGTTAGCTACCTTTTAGGCTTTGTTTCAGTTATGGACTCTAAATTTTAATTACGGTCACTAATTAGTGCTAATTAATTAAGCGCTTAAGTAGCATTAGCACAACATTGTATGCTCTTAAGTCATGCATTCTGTTTCTTAGTGTTAAGTGTGAAACGCTTGCAAAAAAATTGTAGATGGACATTGAATTTTAACTCCCATTAAATATGGGAGGGCTAGGGGGAGCGCACCCAGGTATATGCACAGGTTACAAAACTTAAGACTTGGCTTTCCAAAATGATCTAGGGGTAAACTCTGTGTTGTAGACCTCAAACCTTTTGGACTCAATATTTTGATTAAATCTCACTGGGCGCCCGGGTTATTAAGCTAGTTTGCCTGTAAAAGAGTCAATTATTATTCGATTTTCATAAAAGTGACACCATTTGATGCGTAATGTCAATTTTAACAAGGTCAAACCAATTTAACATTTCCAATGTCACTGGAAATGACGTAATTTGGGCAAAAATTGTATTTATAGCCTTCAAAACCAGTATTTTATTCAAATGAGTCGTATTTGTTATTTGTTTAAAATTTTGATATTTGATTCCAATCAACCAATAGAATGAACTCATATGATCATATAGGTATCACAAAATGGTTTCTAACTTGTTCAGTTGCAGAGAAATAGACGATTTTGAACAGGTAACTTTTCAAGGTTTTTGGTCCATAAAAGTGTCAATTATTATTCGATTTTCATAAAATTTTCCCCGTCTGATACCTAATGCCATTTACGATTTCATACAAGTAAGTTAACACTTTTACTGTCACCGGAAGTAATGTCATTTTGGCAAAAACTGTATTTTTAGCCTTCAAAACAGATATTTTATTCAAATGAGTCTAATTTGTAATGTTTTTAAAATTATGATATTTGATTCCAATCAACAAATAGATTGAACCCATACGATCATACAGATACCCAAAAATGATTTCTAACTTGTACGGTTACAGAGAAATAGACGATTTTCTACAAGTCCCTTTTCAATGTTTTTGGTCTATAAAAGTGGCAATTATTATTCAATTTACATAAAAATTATTCCACGTGATGCCTTATGCCATTTCTGATTTCATAAAACTAATTTAACATTTTCATTATCACCGGAAGTAATGTAATTTTGTCAGTATCACTTACATGTAACAAATGTATACAATGAATTGATATTGCTGTAATTGGTTGATTCTGCGTACATTTTATTTGATGTGTGCAATGCTTATGTGAAAACCTGTTTAATGGTTTCATCGGTACCGGAAGTGACATATGTTTAAGGGTAACGGGGCACCGGTGAAACCCGTCATTACTGCGTCGCAGTTCTAGTGATGATTGTTTTTACCAAAAAAACAACCATCCAACACGTTGACTGTTTTATTTTCCACTTGAGAATATCTCAGAAACTACTTGGCGGATCTGTACGATATCTTTGGTTTTACAGGAAAGTCAGCATGACTTAGAGATTAAACCTATTTCGAACATTCTGTGACAATGCGAAATGTCCGAAAAAGCCAAAGTTGTCGTTTTTTTAAATGTCGCCGTAATATTTACAATAATCGACAGATTTTAACATTTGGAACATTTTGAGTTAGCTGGAGACAGGGCAAATAGCTACGGTACTTCAGATTTTTGATTTTCGACGAATCTTCGCTTATATTAGGCACAAATGTCGTAGCAATAATCCATATGAAGAGAATGTATGTGAAAATTAATTTGTAATATGCGCAGTTGCCGAGAAATAGGCAAGTTTGCATATGTCATTTTTCACATTATTTTGCCTGTAAAAGAGTTAATTATCATTCGATTTTCAATTTGTTTTTATCATTTGATGCCTAATGCCAATTTGGACTAGGTCAAGCCAAATTAACATTTTTACTATCACCGGAAATGACATCATTTGGTCAAAAAGTGTTTTTTCAGCCTTCAAACCAGATATTTTATTTAAATGAGTCAGATCTGTAATGTTTTTAACATTATGATATTTGATTCCAATCAACAAATAGAATTAACCCATACGATCATACAGATACCACAAAAACGTTTCTAAGTTGTATGATTGCAGAAAATAGAGGATTTTCTTCAAGTCATTTTTCAAGGTTTTTTGTCTATAAAAGTGCAGGTGTTCAATCCCTGCATTGGCCGAGAAAGTTCATCCAGATTTTCTGGCATGATTCTCCCTTGTCAGTGATGCAGGACGGAGGGGCGGACAAGGAAAGCTGTCTAGTCGTTCGGATGGGACGAAAAACCAAGGTCCCGTGTACACATTGGCGTGCACGTAAAAGATCCCTTGGCAGTTGGAATTCGATATAAGAGTAGGCCGTAGTGCCGCTGTCCGGGCAAAATTTCCCTCATAGCACACTGTATGGCGTATGCCCGTCTTCATTAGCCCAGCTTAGGAGCAGAACAGTAGGACGTTAAACTCCATTTCATTTCATTTCATTTCATTTATAAAAGTGCAAATTAATATTCGATTTTCATAAAATTTTCACCATGTGATGCCTTATGCCATTTATGATTTCATAGAACTAATTTAACATTTTCATTATCACCGGAAGTAATGTCATTTCGGCAAAAACTGTATTTTTATCTTTCAAAACAAATATTTTTTTGAAGTGAGTTATATTTATTATTCGTTTAACAATTTTGATATTTGATTCCAATGGACATATAAATTTGATAAATACGATCATATAGATGTCCAAAAATGGCTTCTAGTATCTTCCCTTGTCGAGAAATAACCAATTTTGTCAGGATTTTTTATAGATTTTTTTCCCCACTTTAATTTCCCATTAGAAAGTTAGCTAACTTATCGGTAAGTTAGTAATAAATTTTGTCAGGATCACTTTTTTGACATATGTAACACATGGTAACAAATGTATAGATGCAATTGATATTGCTAGATTTGGTTGATTCTGCGTCTGTTTATGCAATGCTTATGTGGAAATCTGTTTAAGGGTTTCATTGATACTGGAAGTGACATAAGTTCACGGATAACGTGCACCGGAAGTGACATAAGTTCAAGGGTAACGTGGCACCGGTGAGACCCGTCATTACTGCTTCGCAGTTCTAGTTATTATTATTATTATTATTTTTCCATTTGAGCATATCTCAAAAACTACTTTGGTAAGTTAGTAACAAATTTTGTCAGGATCACTTTTTTGACATATGTAACACATGGTAACAAGTGAATAGATGCAATTGATATTGCTAGATTTGGTTGATTCTGCGTCTGACATAAGTTCACAGATAACGTGGCACCGGAAGTGACATAAGTTCAAGGGGAACGTGGCACCGGTGAAACCCGTCATTACTGCTTCGCAGTTCTAGTTTAATATTACTTTGGTGAAATAGATGATTTATTGTTATGTAAATAAAATAAATAATGTTACATTGCATGTCAGTATCTGGTCCATGGGTTACATTTAAAAATCAAGGATTTGTTATCTTGTGCTAGCGCTATACAGGGTCTAATAACTCTAATGACCATTTGCTGCTCTTTTCTTCACCAGAATCAACCTTTCATGACCAGAATCAGTTGTTCATGATCACAACTAGATGAAGCTAGGGTTGTTCAAGATGTAGTCGAACTCATTTACATTCAATATAATAGTAAATGAACATTTCATTTGCAATTTATTAAACCTGTTATCATTTAGCTAAAATTGTTAACTATGTTAACTTTTTAAATATACCATCAAGACATACATACCTATAATTTTTGTTATTTTTTGGATAGATTTTGAAACAGCAATTGACCAAACTACTGCAATATATTCTGTTTCTGTATATTTCCAGTTTTCATTTAGAATGGGATAGAAGCTGTAATACAGATATAAATATAGTGCAAATTGTATAGTTTCATCCCCGCATCACTTAAAGTTTTAGTGCTAAAACATTTTATAAAGGAAACAATATTCAAACTTTAAAACTAATTCTTTAACATAAGAAATCATTGAGGATTCCGTTTAAAATTTTTTGAAAAAATCAGACTATCTTTTTAAAGTCTTATTCAGAAGACAATCCTAATGTGTGAAACTGTTTGCATTAAAAAAAATGGTTGAACCTGCTCATTATGAATTAACAGATCAGTTTGGAGCAAGTAGTGTTTTAGCAGCAGCATTACATCAGATGGATGGCATTATTTCTAGTAAGTATAGGTTTTGTTACCTACATGTATATATGTCATTATAACAACACCTGTTACCTTGATTATTATTTATATGTTCATGTTTTACTATAATATACCTGTAGACTAACGTGTACAGGTAGCTTGTACTGTTGTACAGACATCATTGGAAATGCTAGTCATCACGCATACATGTATGTTGGATTTTTTTAAATGGGTTCTTTTTATGGTGGTATATGGATGGATAATGATGTAGTTATGAAGATTAAGATGCTTACATGCACCAGTATTTTTGCTGGTGAGAATATGAATAATACTTTGATATTATTTAATTGCTTAAACGTTGTCTCAAACATGGGCGTAAACACCCAATTCTGGAATCTCCAGCATTGCTGATAAAATTTGGGTATTCTTGTGGTCATAGCATTGGGTTCATAAGCAAATATATCCATCTTATAAAAAAAAACATAGAAAGGATTTTATATACTGGTACTAGTTTTGCTTTTAAAATTGTCTTCCTCGGCAAAATCTTGCAGAAAATAATCTGTTGTTATGTATAAATTTGTTGTTCAAATTAAAGGTACCGGTATATGTATTAGATAGGATACTTGATTGAATGTTCTGTAATTAAATTCTCTGAATCCCACTAATAGTGACACCATGAGTAAAAAAGGAATTTAATGCTACAGCGCATACATCAACCGAAAAATAAAATATTACAACCACTGATCAATTGTATTTTATATCAGGGACGTCAACCAACCACAACAGCTGAAACATATTTGTTGTGTTTATTTACATCACAGTTCTACTCACACTCTCTCAGTTGTCAGGACTGACTGAACCATGGGCCCTATGACAGAACTTTCACAGGACTCAATTCTGTGTCACTCTACTGCAATTCTGAACAGTTCCGTGCTGACAATGTGCTTCCCTTACACGTCCCATGATCTGCCCCTGTAGATCATTAACTATTCCTCTGCAAAGGAATTGAAAAGTTTGTGAACCTGATAGATCAGATTATTGAAGGCATAAAGGATTCTATCTAAATTTTGGTCAGTGTCAACATAGCTGCTATTGTAGGCATACTTCCACATTTTGTGTGGCTATTTTTCTGTGATCCTGTGACTGCATGCCTTCTACAGATAAGGAAGAATGTGGACATACTCTACTTGTATCACTGCTTTGGTGAATTTCTACCCATCACATTTCACTTGATTTCAGGCACCGATTTCGAATTTCGCACTGATGCTAGTGATCATGCTGATCATGCTATGGCCTTTCGAAAAGCGAGACCACTAGGAAGAGCCAAGGTCTGTTATTTATTATATGATTTAAAAAGAGCTTTAGAAGGTTCCAGAGACAGACAACTCCTATTAGACTCAATACCAGCAGACATTGTTTTATTTCTTCGTGATTGGTTGTTATCAGAAGAAGTATGTCTGGAGGTAAGTGCATAAAAGTTAAGTCCATTACACTCATACACATCTACATCAAATCCTTTTGAACACTTCCATCCACAGTTACCCATTCAGATCAATGTTTACGTTTATAATTCAGTTTTTATGCACCCACATTTCAGTGTGGACATATTAAGTCATCTGTCCTTATGAACACGATAGAAGCACAGTTTTTAACAGATTCTTTTCAAGTTCGTGTAGCATTGGGATCATGAGAGGATGCATAACAATATTCAGCGTTTCCCCACTTTCTGTTCCAAAGAAATGGCCCCTTTGCTGTTAACTTTGTAAACATGGTAGAGGTTACAGCTTTCATTTCATTTGTTTAAATTTGGTGTGATGTATTGGGCGTCATGAGGATGAACCTTATCAATATTCAGCCATAGAGGCAACAGTTGTTAACAATTTTTCAAGCTTGTTAACACCATAGAGATCAGATATCATGAAGGCATTATTATCAAATTAGGTCAGCATCAAAGTTACTCTTGAAGATAAACTGCTGTGTGGGTGTATTTTCACATTTTGTGGGGCTATCTTTGAATAAAAGACAATAATTAGGCTCATAACAAGCTAATCAAAATTGTCTATGCAGATGAACATGTTAATTTTAATGTATACATTAATTTATTGTATACTATTCCTATTCTTAAACATTTTAGAAGATCAAAAATGCATATTATATTCATTATACATGTATATGAACATTATACTGGGAACAGGGGTGGTTGGATGATGAAAAGCTTATGTTAATTGAGCAAGTTTACATTCATGTTAATTTGGTGAAGTAAGTATACTGTATAACCAAGTATCACTAATTATATAATTAATCATATTATGACAAACACTGCACCTGCTTAATATTCAAATCAATCCATCAATTTATAAATAATAGGCTACTAAAAGTAGGATGACCCGTGCAGTGAAAATTTTCCCTACAGAAAGTTGGACTCGGCACGGCAAATGTGCACGATTCAGTGGCTTGTCTCGAACTGATTTTTCGCTAACTGCGCAGTATGATAATACTCAGTGCTAGAGTCTATGAGACTATAAATAGCCATCGCACGTGCAATTCTCTACACATCTATCAACTATTACAGCCGTAAAAAATCTATTGTTGACGATTCTGAACAGCAGTAATATTTAGCTTTTTGGTTATTATGGCAGCTTTAGAAATTACATTTGTTTTATTTTTTAAATTGCTTTATCATTAACTGTACCGTTAGGAGCCGCATCTTTTGGTTTAGTATAAATAATAATTCTGAAACACTCGGGTTAGGCAAGAACATGATACTAGTAGTAGTTTCATTTTACTTTTACAAGGTTTTTAAAACAATTGTTGAGTTGCCTAACATGCGTGTTTCTAAATTCAATTTCATGTTCCAGCTTTCTGTTATGTTTCTTAAAAGTAGTCTTGATTATCCCGGCCTGTAAATCAGACGTAGAATGATTGGTAGACTGGTTAAGTGAGACTAATTTCAAAACAAGGGCATGTAACCTATTTTTTTACTCACAAGCAGGGCTCACGCTGTCGGTCGCCAAAGTCGCAATTTGCGATAAAAATATGAAAGTGGCGATTAAAATTTGATTTTGGCGATAATTTTGGCGATAACGTTTTGTGGTACTGGCGATTCTTTTTGAGAACTGGCGGAAAAAAAATCTTAAAATTATAATCGTATTTATCCTAGCTGGATTAACCATTAATTGATCGAGTGTCAATCACTTGGATGAAAACTATAAATTAAACAATTGGCTGATAATCCGGATTGCGCGTCAATTACTAATCAGTTGTCTTGGATTAATGATTAGTTGATTGATAATTGCCATGATGTATATAAAGTCTATCGCAAGTCATTATTTACTCCTAATGATTAAACCAAGCGGTGATTATTTGATGTTTCGTTTCGTCTTAAAAAAAATGGTAATACATGTAATCAAAATGGCCGACAGATCCTTTCGAAGAGAATTAAATATTTTGATAGTTGAACTGTGGCTTCATATACGGCATATACAAGCATGCCGATCGGATATCATTAGTTCAAATTATATCATCACCTGGTCGAAAACGTAAGAAAGAGTTGAATAGAGACGATTCTTGAGCGAGAAACCATTTCGCCATATGTATCATATTACCGTCGCAAAAATGCTCTAAAGGTGAACGACGGGTATAATTGTAAACATCTCTTACAAATAAAACCAAAATTTATATCGTTCTATCAGTCATTCAGATTCTGATACCTTTACGGTACCTGGAAATAACTATAGGCCTATTGTACACGCAACACATAAATTTACTGAAAATATATTGTGCAGTACGGTGTTCAAATAGACTAAATTCTCCCCCCCCACCAAAAAAAAAAGATCTTCTTAAATCCAAAGTTGTTGTATATTGTATTGTATATATCGGTAATTGTTTTAGAATGTTAATAAGCCTAGCTGAGATATAAATTCGTTGGATGTTGTCTTTTTTATCACACATTTTTGGCAGATAAAATTTCCAGTTGGCGGAAAAAAAATATGAACATTTTTTTATATAAAAATTATCATCCATTTTGGCGAAAAAAAATTGAAAGCCAGTGTGAGCCCTGCTCACAAGTGCCCAGATATTATGGCCGACACTCGTAACCATCTTTCAGTGTATTATTTATGGATGGTTAAATGGTCATAGCTTATTAAGTTGTTCATTCTCCACTAACCTGAACCAAATATGTTATACATTGTCGCCCGTACATTTTAGAAAACAAATATCTATTTGGATACCGATTTTTAATTCTAACATGAAGTTATTAGTCTATATTTGATCACACCAACATGTATTACCGTCCTTACATGAGGCAATTTTCATAATCCGGCTCTTCAACAGGCCATTTTTACCATATTTTACTTGTCGCTCTTTGCTTTCTCTGTAATGTTTGTTCTGTTAATAAAAGTTATCGCATCAAAAGTTGTCATTTTTTTATATTTTCCATGGCATATAGCTCCATTGTTTCAAATAAAATCCATTTTACACCCCCCTTATTCTTGGAATTTAAATTTTATCTGTTAAAACCTTGTCGCAAATTTCGCAACAGATACGTGACCATATATTTGGAGTGGTTAAATTTTGTAGTATAGGGTTTGGGGAGGTAAGAATGCTCCCAGAATAACCGATTGTGGCATTGTGATTAATCATTTATAATAAATACCTGAATTAATTAGGATCTCTGCTATATACATCGCACAGACGAAAAGTTAAAAAGTGCGTTCGGTTTTCAACAGTTGCGTGATCATACTTTTCTTAGTTTTTGTAATGAAAGCCTCGTACGAGATGATTCATGGTTTTCATTACTATATAGGTGGCAGCTATGATTTGTACGACAGTGAAAGAAAACTATAGACAATAAAATATACTTCTCAAGTGATGGTATAGTTACGAACAACAGATACGTGATAAATAGATATGTTACCGTTATGAGTAAAATTGAAATCTAATGCCACTGCCCGCTTAAATAACGTGATATAAAACGAGAATCTGGCGACAACGTGTCCTTTAGACCTTGAAGCCACCATCTTAGACTTGACGAACGACGTTAAAGACAATATAAATTCAGATATTGAAATCAGGACAGTTTTGGGTTAGTAATACTACATTTTCTGTGTTTTACAAATTTGTTTACATCGTTTCCTACTATCAACAACTTAATTTACGATTTTTAAGGTGAAAAACCAAATAATTTAATCAAATGAAGTGCTACATTAGAGCAATGTTAAGTAACGTATCTGTTTTATGGTGGTAACGTATCTGTCAAACCTACTTTTAAGCCAGTTTGATGGGCAAAAATCACTGAAAATTCTGCCGAGCTGTATCAGTAAGGTTCTTATTACATTGATATATAATTGATATATAAACTAAATTAAAGAAAGACACCAAAATACTAATTTAACGGCTAGCGCTTTCTGTTCTTACTGAACATACTCAGGCCATTTTTATTTATGATAGATTACATGCAACGCCATAGCGTTACTATAAATATATCAAATACAACATAATAATATTTACATATTTCCACATTTAGTAAATAATCAATAAAAACGGAATTATTAAATCAGCTGCTGATTCTTCGTCATCGGCTGCCGATGCTATGTCATCTGCTACATGGTCCGCCATCGTCTGTTGCTAATGATCAATCTAATGTAAAAGAAGACACCTTTATAGCTGCAGTTTATGACGGGGATTGGTATGTTGGTAGAGTTCCGGAGATGGAGAAAGCGGACACAGCTGAAGCTTTCGTCACATTTATGATCAAACATTATTCTAAAGGTCAACTTACCTTGCGATGACCGGAAAGACCAGACGAATTGTTAATTCCATTATCAAATATCATCCGAATCATCGACGAACTTCTTCCTGTTGGAAGATTTAAGCGATATTATCAGTTATCGGTCGCGGATTTAAATGCCCTTAACGAAACAGATATGTTACCCTAAAGTTTGAGATACATATATATATGCACTATTTTATGTTAATGTGTCAGAAATTGTTTTTTTTTTTGTTTTTAGCAAAGTTAAAATGATTATTTTTTAGTTTTGTGGTATCCTCTGAAAAATCAAATTATTTGCAATAGAAACGTTACTGCTAAAACAAGTGATACTAAATTTTAAATGGAAATTCGTCATTTATACAAGATCGCTCGATGAATCCCATATTAATAGTAGCCTTTATTCGATACAACGATCATCATGCTCTTACCCTGTTTGATTGTCCATCTTATATTTCACACTAAAGACCCAAATTTGTCAACATTATTTAATTTCAAACATAAGGAAACCACCATGCATTATTTGAGAAAAACTATTTTTCTACCAGTGTCTTGATCTAAATGATACATTATGGTATTACGTCACATTAAAGATAAATACCTGGGTTCTTCGTTGATTAAAATTAATTGTATTTCAGGTAACATTTATTTGTTTGTGTAACGTATCTGTTGCACGTACGGTTTCAGGTGGGTCGAGACAAGTTGACACAAGTTTCTCCTCGGACGAGATATTTGGAAGCCCCTTCAGTTTTTTGTTCCAAGATATATTTTCTTTTGAAATAAAACGTATTTTAAGTTACATGTTGAAGTTCACTTTTGTACACATTGGTATTCCAATTAGCTCAGTTTAGTGGAGAATGAACGAAGTACAATATGACCGTTTATTTAGTGACTATAAATGTGCGAAACTGATCTAAGGCTTGGTGTATATATAAATATTGTGGTGTAATTGTCAAGATATTTGGAGATATTTATTTATGGTGGGTCACCCTTCTAAAAGATTTTAATTTTCTTTTTACATATTGTTGTATAATAAAAATATTGTCATTTATAGAGTGTGTTAATACTGATGAACTGTTTCTAAAGCACTGTTGGTTGTTATATTAACTGACTATCGCATATCTATATCACTTGTTCATTTCCATATATTTTTTTTACTTTTTTCTGTATCCTCAGGAAAGAACTTATACATGTATACATGTACATGTAGGCCTTGTCTGTTATTCTGTTTTTTTTCAGATAATAAGATATCATTCTATATGTACATAATACATGTAAATAAAATATTAGGATGACTAATAACCAATTTTATTCAATGTTGCAAGTTATTATTCAGCCAAAATCTTGTTACAGATCAAGTGCAGCTTCCTCGATTTTTATACGGCCACCTTGAAATGTGGTTGTATAAGGTCATTGCCCCCGTCCATCCGTCCGTCTGGCGGTCCGGCATCCACAATTGCTTGTGGACGCTCTAGAGGCTAAAGTTAATATCAAATTGACTTTAAATTTATCCACAGTATTTATGGTCATGATACGAAGAAGCCTATTGATTTTCAGCAATTTACGATAATTACTGCCAGAGTTATGGCCCTTGATCACATTGAAAAATTTTGTGGACGCTCTAGAGGCTACAGTTAATATCCGATTGACTTTAAATTTATACACAGTGTTTAAGGTCATGAGACGAAGAATCATATTGATATCCGATAATTACTGCCAGAGTTATGGCCCTTGATCACTTTGAAATATCTTGTGGATGCTCTACAGGCTAAAGTTAATATCCGATTGACTTTAAATTTATACACGGTGTTTAAGGTCGTGAGACGAAGAATCCCAGTGATTTTCAATGATTTCAGATAATTACTACCAGAGTTATCACCCTTGATCACTTTGAAAAATCTTGTGGATGCTCTAGAGACCAAAGTTATCATCCGATTGATAAACAGAGTTTAAGGTCTTGAGACGAACAAGTATATTGATTTGCAATGAATTTTGATAACTTGAACAGCTAAATGCATGGTATTAAATGTTTCCTATACTAAATCTTAGCATTGAACAGAACTAAAAATCAAACAATTTCTAATGATTTTCGGATAATAACTTAATGAGTTGTTACTCTTAATCAGCTTTTAGTGTATTATAAATGTTTCATTACCGACAATAGAAAAAATATGTGACAACTCTTATTGACTGCCCGGACGACTTAGCTGCTGTGGGCGTATGTTTCGTTGCCTGGCAACCTATCCTTATGTATGGAGGCAGGCCAATTGGTGAATTCAAGAGAACCAAAATACTCATGAGTAAAAGGTCATTTGGCCATATAAGTAACAAAATTTTTTAGTAAATATCTTGTTATCTTTTGGTTTAGATCTTGGCGCATTGGATATTTAGAAGTGGCGCTTTGCATCCCTTTGATAAAGCCTACTCATCATTTTTAGCGATTTTATTATTTTGTGCACATCCTTTTTAGCGAAAGTTATCTTCTTTCACATTAATTATTTTGTAGTTAAAAATATACTCAGTGAATCAACCTAGGAAAGAATGACTTTTGGTCATTTTCGTAATTTTGCTAAAGATGAAGACTGCATACTCAAATTTATAAACCCATTTTCACTTAATGAACAAAAAATAATGAAGATGCCTAGTGTTCTATATAGGAATAACAAACTACGTCAGTTCGTTTTCATTCATGTTTTTTAATTCCCGGAAGTAAGGGAGAGGCTCATTGTTACAATACTAATAGGGAGCATTTATAATTACAATTACAATAACATTACAATTCTTCCCGCACAATTTAAAATGTCTTTTAAATGTTCATAATTAAATTGTCTCTATTAGTCTTTCTGGTTTCTTTCTAGCTCGTTCAGTGGTACGGGTTTGTATTGCTGCTTTAGGTGACAGTGCTGGAACAGGTGCTGGATTTTTTGTAGACAGTACAGGATTATTATTTTCATTGTACCGTTCATTTATAATTGGTTGTGGTACAATTGGTACATGTAGCTTTGTAGTTAGATCATCTGGAACATGTTCTGGATCAGATTGTTGAAACAAATTTGGATTTGTACTTTGAAGTGAAATGTCTATTAACTGATCTTTATGACGTTTCCAAACAAGATTATCAACTTCTACAGTGTAAGTTGCTGGTCCAAGTTTCTCAACAATTACACCTCGTTTCCATTTAAGTTCTCGATTTCTGTAATCTTTAACCAATACAACAGAACCGACTTCAAGACTTTTTGTTTTATCTATTTTAGGCGATGTTCGTTTCATCATTGAAGAAGTAAGACTTGGCTTTAATAAGTCTAACCTAGTTCTAAGTTGTCGACCAATAAACAGTTCTGCAGGAGTTAACTTTGTAACACAGTGCGGTGTTGTTCTGTAGGACAATAAAAATCTATAAATGTTTTGTTTCGATTGTTCCTCTGTCATGTCGTTGTGTTTTCATTGCTGTTTTAAAAGTTCTAACAAAACGTTCAGCTTCACCATTTGAGCTTGGATGATACGGTGCTGACTTTATATGTTTAATACCATTCTGTTTAGTAAACTGGTTAAATTCAGCTGAAATAAATTGTGGTCCGTTGTCTGATACTATCTGTTCAGGAATACCATAAGATGCAAATAATTGTCGCAAGATATCAATAGTAGCTTCAGTTGTAGTAGATGACATCATGTATACTTCTGGCCACTTTGATCTAGCATCAACCACAATTAAAAACATTTTGTTTAAATACGGTCCAGCAAAATCAATATGTATTCTTTCAAAATTTCGACTTGGCCAAATCCATGGATAAGATCTGACCATTGGTGTAGATTTAACATCTTGACACGGAATACAATCTCTAACTAACTGTTCAATATCATCGTCTAAGCTTGGCCACCATACATGCATTCTGGCGATAGACTTCATTTTAACTATTCTGACATGGACATCGTGTAATGTTTCCAATAGTTTTGATCTCAATTTTTCTGGAACGATGACCCTTATACCCCATAACAAACATCCTTCCTCGATTGTTATTTCGTCCTTTTTTCTGTAATAAGGCAGTAATTCGTCAGGTATCTCTTTTTGATCTGGCCAACCATGTCTAGTAAAATAAAGAATTCGGGAAAACAATTTATCATGGGCGGTCTCTTGACTTAGTTGATTTGCTGTTACAGGTAAGGTGTTAATTTGAACACAATGTAAATTATAAGCTTCTCGACTCCATTGGTCGTTGTGATCTTCACAATTTTCTGTCAATGGCAATCTTGATAATCCATCAGCATTACCATTTTCCTTCGCTGTTTTGTACTTTATATCATACTGATACGCTGATAACTTAATAGCCCACCTCTGGATACGTGATGTAGCTAGAGCTGGTATACCCTTTTTAGGATTTAATAACAGTGAGAGTGGTTTATTATCTGTTAATAATGTAAATCGTAAACCATACAAATATTGATGGAATCTCTGTATACCAAAAATTATAGTTAAAGCCTCTCTTTCAATTTGAGAATAATTTCTTTCGGCTACTGTAAGTGAACGTGATGCAAAAGCGACTGGTTTTTCTACACCATCAACTTCATGCGAAATTACTGCTCCAATTCCATATGGAGAAGCGTCTGTTGCTAAAATTATTCTTTTTTCAGGATCAAAGTGAACTAATAAATTGTCTGAAGCAATATTATTTTTTAAAGCTTCAAATGCTTTGGCACAATCTTCATTCCAAACAAACTGTACATTTTTAGTTAAAAGTTTATTAAGTGGAGCTGCAATCGTACTCATATTAGGTAAAAATTTCCGATAATAGTTTATTAAACCTAACCACGACTGTACTTTCGCAACGTTTTCCGGTTCAGGAGCATTCATAATTATCTGTAGATGGTCTTAGACCATTAGCATCAATTTTAAAACCTAAATATTTAATGGAATGTTTCATGAAAACACACTTTTCTCTGTTTAACTTCAATCCATATTCATCTAAGCGTTTTAAAACTTGTCGTAGATTTTCTATATGTTCTTGATCGTTTCGTCCTGTAATAGTAATATCATCCATATAACAAATTGTACCCGGTAGACCTTGTAGTATCTTATCCATTACCTCTTGGAATATTGCTGGTGAAGATGACACTCCAAATGGTAGACGTGTATATTCGTATAGCCCTTTATGTGTACTTATAGTTACCAATTTTCTAGACTCATCATCCAACAAAATTTGTTGATAGGCCTGTGAGAGATCCAATTTTGTGAACTTTTCTCCACCGTTTAACTGGGTAAACAGGTCTTCAGGTTTTGGCGTTACATACTCAGGTATTCTAACTTCAGGATTTAAGGTAACTTTGAAATCACTGCAAATTCTGACAGTATTATTGGGTTTCAAAACTGGGACTATGGGTGTTCCGTAATCTGAATACTTAACTTTTTGTAATACACCAATCTCCTCAAGTCGATCTAATTTGTCACTAAGCATCTCTTTTATAGCATAAGCTACAGGTCTAGGGTTAAAATAGGTTGGTCGTGAGTCTTTCATTTCAATATGAGCTTTTACACCTTTAACAGTACCTAATTTACCATTAAAAAAAGAACTAAATTCGTCTAAAATTGGTGTTATCATATCTTCAGTATTTACATGTTTGATGGACTTCCAATTTATCATAATATCAACCATCCAATTTCTCCCAAACAATACAGGTCCATTTCCAGGAACAACGTATAAAATTAGACTTTTCTGTTGATTTTCGTACTGGACATTTACATAAATTTCACCAAGAACTTTCAATCTTTCATTTGTATAAGTTTTTAACACAACAGTAGATGGCTTTAACGATAAATCTTTAAAATGTTTTAGATACACAGTTTCAGGAAGTAATGAAACTGATGCTCCAGTATCTAACTCCATAATAATATCCTTTCCCTCTATTTTTACAGGTATCTTTATTTCTTCTACTGTGTCATTTCTTACAGACTTTATACTAAATAATGGAAAATCTTCTCTTTCTTCTAGTTCTATGTCAGATTCTTCCATATACCTTATTTTGGAATTCTTCTTTTTCACTGGTATCGATTCTTCTTTCTTTGTTTTAGAATATGTACACATTCTACTTAAATGACCCAACCTTCTACAATTATGACATCGCTGATTTCGGTAATTACATACATTAGCGCTGTGCTTTGGTTTACCACATCTCCAACATTCAACTTGACTGTTTTCCATCTCTTGTGGTTTCTTTTCGACACCATGGAAATTTCTCTGTCTAAAAACCTTGTGAATTTCTGATGTACTTTTGGAGCTGGATGATCCAGGAAATAATTCATCAGCAGTTTCCATACCAATAGAAATTTCTAAGGCTCTCTCTAAAGTTAAATCTGCTTCTGTCTTCTAACTAAGTCAAATAACTGTAGTAAAGTTTTCTCACTGGGCTTTTGTGGGGCAGATACTTTGCGAATTAAGCTGTATGTTTGAGTACCACATACACTTAAAAATATAGATTTCTTCTTCCTGTTATCTGTTATGTCGTTAGCAGCAAAGTAATGTTCCAATCTTTCAGTGTACTCACACCAGTTTGTTCCAAAACGGTATTCGTCTGTGTCCAAATGTAGCGGCAGACATGTTTGAAATGTAAATTTACAGTGGCAACAATTTTCCCACGTTTCAGTCAACAAAGTTAATTTTCAGGTGAATTCAGCTTTTCTAAGCACTTTCAGACTGTTACTCTTTAAATAACAGTACCTCACCAGCTTTGATTTGACATTAAATTCCTTTATCCTCGTCGCCAATTTGTTCTATATAGGAATAACAAACTACGTCAGTTCGTTTTCATTCATGTTTTTTAATTCCCGGAAGTAAGGGAGAGGCTCATTGTTACAATACTAATAGGGAGCATTTATGGTTACAAACATTACACCTAGTGACATACAAAAGGAACTTATTGATAGAATTGAAAGTAAACCGACAACCCCAAGAAGGAGAGACAATCTAAATGTGCGCACTTACTTTAAGCCAGGCCAAGGAAGTTACCGGTGACAGATTAAATGTAAATAGGGTTTCTGGTAATGGTTAATGATTTCCTAAATTCATTTAGATAAATAAATAAAACTAAGACAATTTAATTGATTCTAAATAATATATACTACGCCTGTGCAATCGATTCTGGAAGCCATCTGTGGAAATCAGGGACGGATTGAGCTTGCATGGGGCCCTTGCATCAACAGTGAAAAATGGATATATTCTGTACGTACATTGAGCGTGATTGATTTTTAGTATCTCTGGATTTGGCTGGAACAAGGGAAGGGCAGCAGAAAGAGAGGGCACAGTGTTGTCATTTGGGCATATCCTTGCATATTTTAGGTAATTCTGTTGAAATTCAAGGGCACTTTTTTAGAAGATGGAGCACATTTTCGGAATGGAGGGCATTTAGCCACACACACACCTCTATACGCATGTAGGAAATTTCATCGGATTCAAGCTTTATCAAACATTTCCAGTTTCTTTTGTTTTTTGCATTTGCATTGTGTCTGTTGATTGTCAAAAACGTTTTCCCTTGAAGTATCTCAACAGATATAATTTTTTCTGGTAGTTTGGATATGTTAATCAATCGAAGGTTCTGTACTTAGGATCACGACTATCTCAGAAATATCTCTTGAAATCTATAAGGAAATGTGTGTGATGATTAATATTAACAAGTGGCTAACAAGTGTATGGAAAGTTAAGTTTCACTTCCATTACCAGATAGCAGGAAACAAAACATACAATATACATATAATAAATTATCTCATCAACATTATGTAAATATATAATTAAATATGTAAACATAATATTAGACTCCATTAAATTTGTGCATGTGTTGATTCGGTTTTAACCGAAAACAAGAGACCGAGTAAGAGAATGAAGAACATCTGTCTGTAGTCTATTGTGTATAAAATACAGATGTCTGGACCTTGGCACTCAAATACCATGTTAGTTAGATTTGGCGCTTGCTATTCTATATATATATATATAATACGACAATAAAAAAAATGGTGGTTATAATTCTGTGTTGTAATAATTCATCCCTGTAATCCAGTTTTTTTCAAATTGTTCTGTGGATTTATTTGGTCTATTAAGGAATATATATTTCGATACGTAAGTATCCCTATCCCATAATGCATGTAATAACAAGTAAGGATACAGAATAAACATATGTTTAGATTTTGTTAGAGTTTATCCATGTCTAACTAGAGTATCATTTGATTTGGCACCAGCTAGTAATAGGTGTAGATACTTTTTACAAAATTTGATTTTTAGTTCAATTTTTTTACCAATTATACTTAATGTTTTTAACTGAAGACAGAGGGTTGATGGACATTTCAGAAACACCTTACATTCCACAGAATACACAAAAACCTCCAGTAAATATTCTTTAATCAGTAATCCCACTAGAGTAAATCAGTTTTTGGTTTATTATTATTTAAAGAGCTTCACAGGATAAACAAATGTAGGGCAAAAATCCATTAATGAGACCCTAAAGGCTGACATGATCACAGTTGTTGGTACTGGATTAAAATGCAGAAAGTTGTGTTATTTGGGAAACTTTTAGAGGATTTTTCAAATGGTGTTCATTTCAAAATTTGTCAGAATTTCAGAATTACCATTTGGAGAAAAAAAATTCTGTCCAGAGGTTGCCTGTAGGCATGAACAGACCCATTTTAGCGGTTTTAGTCACGAGTGACATGATCCTCATAATAAAAATGTACATTTATCATATAAAACATATCAGAATTATCTACATTAAATGTCAATATGTATATATTAACAAAACTAGAAAACCAAATTTACATTTTTTTTGTACTTTTTTGTGCCTGTTCATTTTTTGCAAATGAAACATTGTTATGATTAAAACTGAAAATTGTGGTTTAATAAATGCCATTCATAAAAGATTGCAGGTTATTCAATATCATACAAAGTGTAAGTGAAACAGGTTTTTGTTTGTTACAATTCATTTCCTTTTATTAAGTTTCATATTTTATTTCATATTTCATAACTGGTCAAAGAAAACATACTTCCTAGTTTGATTTTATTATTCTACAATCAGAAAACCAATTTTCAAGATCTAATGATTTTTTTTTTATGATTTTCTTTAATATTGTTATTTTTATTACTTTTCTGTACGAAATATGTCTGATTTCCTTTAAATTTTGTCCAAATAAAAGGTAAAAAAAAAAAATTTGTGGTAGATTTTAGTACATGTGTATCTCTAGCACATATGTGTACAATCTGAGCCTGTACCAAAGTTATTCAGTCAGTCAAAATATTATTTTATCATTTTTGCCCGTTTTTGACAGAATTTTGGTAAACGCTGCTTACCTATGGGTATATAAAACCAGCTACAAAAATAAAAGTTCTGAACCGATTTTGACAATTTAAACAGATTAATGATTCTCGGGGTCTCTAGCTCAAAAATTTAATTTTGGTTGGCACATGCTACTTTGACAATTTTTTGCACAAACATCATATTCAGTGGAGTTCATTACTAAAGACATATAGTCAGACTTGGATAGTAACAAGCAAAAACAGAATGTGTTTACATAAGAACATATTGTAAAGATAATAAACATCTTAAAATAGAAGAATATAGTTGTTTTCAATAATCTACTTCTGAATACAGACTTGAGAATTTATCAAGTCAAGACCTAAGGAATTCCATTGATTCTATAAATAGAAATGTGAGGGTGTTCCCTGATATAAGTACATAATATGTATCAGTGTGTAGATATAGGTATCATGTAGATAGTTGATATATATAATGTTTTAGGAATATTTTAGCCTTGGATATAGTGTGGTGAATGATTGTTTACACTACGGTAAGTGGACTTAGCTGTAGTTATCATTCCAAACAATTATATATAGAACACTGCCCATCTTCAATAATCTTCTTTGTGCAGATAAGTAGGATGTTAACTGTTAAGCCCCATTTCATTTCATTTATATTAAAAATTATATCATCATTTTCAAATCTTAGCATCGTATAATCCAAGTTCAGAGTGCTGCCACTTACAACTGTTAAAAAAAAAAGGGCTACATTTCTTTATTGGTTAGGGTTACCCGTGGATCGAAGCCTATTGGGGCCATTTCATAATTGCTGTGAGAAGTTGAGAGCGTGTAAGTGAGAAGTCAAGGCAGTGAGACGTCAAGGGCGAGGGAGCAAGAATATGAGGAAACAGGGCGAGAATGCTAGGATCTTGCCCCAAGAACACAATTAAAATTATACTTACCTCGACTTCGCGCTTTCTCGTCCTTGACTTCTAGCTTTATTGGCTTTGAAAATTCTCACATTCCCACACCTTTTACTTCTCGCTTTCACACTCTAAACTTCCTTCTTTCTCGCCCCGGAAGTTCAATTCATACACATTTTCACTGACTGCTACCAAAAGCACAATTTACCACACAAATCTATGAAATCCACAATAATCTACTAATATTGCAACTTATTAAATCACATTAATTATCATCATATATCGTTATTTGTACTTTCCTGCTGAAAATATGTTGTTGTTTTTTTTTATTAGAAACTATTTTTTTAGTTTATAAAGATACCATTCTGTTAGCATTCAAAATGTTCCAGGCATTATTTAGCATTTGTTTTTCACTTGTCAATACTGAAAATTACACAGATAGGACTGAAAAGTTTTGGTTAAATTTGCAGCTACCGCAACGATATCATATTTTAAATTAGGAATCTATATTTCAGAAGAGAGTCAGTTTTTATATGTTGAAATCTATTCTGATGTATGCTTTCAATATATCTATTCCAATAATGTTTAATGTATTTTCCTTCAAATCTATTCTTCTTACAATTTAGAATACACTATGCAAGCTTTGCTGATATAAAAAATATATAAAATTTAAATTCCCTTCCCCTGATCTTTCCCCTAAAACTTGGAGCCACGGTGGCTCAGTGAGTAGGGTGTGGCTCACTAACCAGAAGGTTTTGGTATTGGCTAAGAATGTACCTCAAGATTTCCCAGCATTACTTCACCGAGGTCACATGTACACATTGGCGTGCATGTAATGGAACTCTTGACAGTTGGTATTTGAAATAAGAGTAGGCCGTAATGCTGCTTTCGGAGCAAAATTTCCCTCAAAAGTATGAAGCATAGCATATGCCCGTCTTCATTGGTGCAGGAAATGAGCTTGCTTGATAAACTATGCCGTAGTTTAAATAACCATAGTCTGTCCCCAAGAAAGCTATAAGTCATGAGCAAGAAGTCCAGGGAGTGACAACGCAAGAATTTTCAAAGGCAAGAAAGCGAAAAGTAAAGGGCGAGAAAGCAAGAAATCGAGATAAAAATAATCTTGTGTTCTGGAGGCGAGATCCTAGCATTCTTGCCTTGTTACCTTGAGTTCTGGTGCTCTCACTCCCTCGCCCTCAACTTCTCACAGCGAGAATTGAAGATTATGAAATGGCTGCAATAGGCTTCCATAGTATTAACCAATACTCGTCAGAATGCTTTTTAAAACTAATAAATTATATAGTTGGAGATTTGAGCGGATATATTTTCAAAAAATGAACAACAAAATATCTTTGATATGCTCATTAGATTATAATCCTACATGTAAGTACAGGTATGATGCACTATAACCCAGGTATCATTTAATCTTGTGTATCTAGCACTAATTTCTTTCACATTCTTTCAATATCCAATCTTTGTTTAAAATTCGTAAAAATCATTTAAAATCACCAAAAATTATCTAATTTGTACTTTTGTCCAGTTTAAAGCTGACTGATTAATTTTGATATTAAACGAATGTGAAAGAAATTAGCGCTAGATACACAAGATTAAATGATACCTGGGTTACAGTGGTGTATTTCTGTTTTTATTTTGATTTAAGTTAATGTTTTACAAAAATCTATATGACCCCAAACAAGTTTTTCTTGAATGTTTTTGCTAAAGCTCAACAGAAAAGCCAGTTTCTAAGCTAGGATATGTTAAAGTAATGAATAAAACTGGTCAGAAACCTTGATTCATATAGACATATTCTAAATGTAGACTGGTAAAAGATAACTACAGATAACATTCTCTTGATCATAGTGATCAGAACCCTGATTTAGTAGAAGTAGTTTCTAAGACTTGGATATATAACTTTGATATGTGTACATACTCATGTAAGTAAATACTGTCATAGTTAATTTTAATTACAAATGTTATATGTATGTAATGCTATATAATCATTAGTGCCAAGCAAGATGTGGGATTGAGGGGAGTTTTAAAAAAGCAATGATATTGAATTGCCCAGGAAATTTGTAATAATAAAAATAGGTTTTAGAACAGATTTTACCTCAGATGCCTTAACACCTTTCGTTACGTCTTAGGTTTGCTCTCATTGAAATGTTGGCAACTGCTATGTGCACCTGATGTACATGAATTCATTTAAAAGTTTGAATAATTCTCAAGTAATTTATAATTTGTTAGACATATTGATTTAATTCAAAAAATTTAAGAAATGTTTAAATTGTTAGACCTATATGTTATTGATCTAATTTATAATTCTATAATAGATTACATTAAAGGTATTGCTGAATGTGGTGGGAAACTCATCACTATCCATATTGTCATAATTAATGGCTAAGTCTAGTTGACATCAAAACATGCTACAGGATTGTAACCAAAGACATTAACTTCATAACTAAAATAAACAATAAAGGCCTCACCCACACCACTTTAATATCAATTTATGTAATTTAAAATTATGTACCCCCAACCCTCCCTAGCCATACATTCGGAAAGCTAAGAACACCTCATGTAAATCTTGCATTATGTTTTTAATCATATGTATAGAACGGACATCATGTTTTTGCAGGCTACAATTGGGTGTTACTTTTTATTCGGTTTGAGGCTTTTTTTGTCATAGAATATTGTGGAAAGTTGTCAATAATTTGACCCAAAAACACAGTACAGCATTGGCCAGATGTAATAGTGCATTCTATCAAGTTGTTACCTTTAATCTTGTAGTCAAAAACTTAGCTATAATGAATTGACTTGATATGAACAATTTTTACTATAAAGGACTTTTTGTGGGTATATTAAGCCTGTTTAATGACATGACTTACAAATCATTCAATTTTTTAGTTCATTTTACAAGGTGAAAAATGAATGTCAGATGTTTGGATTTAGTTTTTTTACTAAACATTTTATATAATGTGACTTAAAACCTTAATCCCAGTGTAACATCACGCAAAACGACTATTAAATCTTTGGATAATCAGGGCTGCACAGCACTCTTCTATATTAAAAATATTTTTTTGTCATAATCTGAAATTGTGCTCCTGACTTTAGATACTCCATACTTATTGTAGCTACTGTTCTTGTACAAAACAGTCTTTGTCAAAATCATTATTCAAATCTCAAATACAGAATCAACATTTCATGTTTTCTAATTGTTGTAGTTGTCTTTTTGCAAACCATATTCGTACTACAATAAAAGATGTAATATGGATTATTTATAAAATAATAAAATTTTAATACACAATTGACTTGACAAAGGACGGGGTCACCTGCCAACCCTAACTTACATGTAATGAGTTTTCTCGAATTCCATGCACTGCTAAAGATTTCTGTGAGCAAGAAATTTACTGAAATGAAGGGTTACAATATTATGTTAGTTCCAATTTGACGACCTAGATGTGTTGACATTAAAGCCAATTCCATTCCTTCATTGATTTCATAGAGTAGGAAGTTTTCAACCCAATTTACACTGTGAAAATGGAATGGTACTCGATCAGGGATCTAGTACATTTTAGTAAAAATCTTGGAAATATAAATGGAAATTGAGTCTGGCCAGCTTATTTCAGTACACATGTGTGTGTGCAGTGCTCACTCTGGGTTTCATTTTTTTTCCGTCAAATTTTCATTTTAATTTATTAGCCATATATTTTCTCCGCCAAAATAAAGAACAAATATCTATTAGATTTTTTTTTAGTATTTTCTTTTAACATAACACTGAGAAGTAGTAATAGTGTGATTTGTACGTTTATGGTATATATTTCTCAATTTTTAGTAAATTTGTACAAATATCGGTGAAATTCTAATTATCGCAACAAATCTAATACGAAGAGGCTAAAATCTGTAGGTACGGTGTGTTAAGTAACAGGGGTGAGAAATTGACTGAAAGGTGATATAATTATCGCTAGGGGTGAAAATCTTGGCGTCGGTGCGTTTTCTGTACCGGTGTGTTAATTAACGAACGGGTTAAAAACGACTGACACGGTGTGTATTCTTTATTTGGTGAGTTTTCTCGAAAACGTGTTATAACTGCAGCAAAGGTGATTTATCAAGGACCAGCAGGCTTTATCTGACGCGTAGGTGTTAAATCTAATTTACCGTGCGATTTCTTGTTCGACCGTGTGTTTTACGCAGATCGGTCTTTGTTAAGTGTAGGTCTTTATACATGGATTTCTACATGGGATAGGTATGTATATCCTTTCTTATACGTATTTCATTTCTTGATGAATACTACGTGTTTTGTAATTCATACCATAGTCGCACTGCAGTTATTTATATATTTGATCTTTTTTGTGGGTTTAATTTGTTTACAAAGTATCGTGCGTACCACTTAACTATAAATGGTCGTTTCTTAAAATTGATCACACGCAGTACCGTCATTTCCCGATATCATAACCAACCCCAATTTGATTATCCGATATATTCTAATCGCCATTGTTATCAGATTAACGAATCTGTTTTCGAACCAGTCATTACATTGTAATCATATTTTCATACAAAACAGCTTTTCGCCGATTTACATGACGTCTTCCCGATATATTCGCAATAGGGTATGTTTGGTTCCCTTCTTTCAACAGCTTAGATGACCCTTCTTGGACAATTAGTCAAACGTAAAGAAATCTAACTCTCTCCCGCATCCGTTGCAGGTATAAATCGAAAGCACAGACTAGGCACGGCTCCATATGTGTCACCTAGCTTGTTCTATTCTAAAAGCATGCAATCGCCTTTGGAAATCACTTTGGTGTCTTTTTTTTATTTCGGTCGCTTTATTTGAAACGATTTTCATAATAAGCCGTAGTAATTTGTGATTTTGTTTTTACTGCCAATTCTGCTTAATTGTGTGCGCTTTGAAATCTAAAAACTTGACGTAAAACAAATCATGGATACGGGTTTAAAATAGGGTTATAGCCTGATCTATTTGTTAAAGGCCTGTTAATACAGTATGAACAATATGGAATATTAAATATATGTCCGTATATACCAAAAATAAATCCCATAAAACAGATGAATAATACAACGTAGATTTGAAACAGAAAGTCTTCAAGTATATGCGTAAATATGTTTCCCTTTTGTCTAAATCCCATTTATAACTGTTTGATCTCCTTTTGCAGAGCAAAGACTTGTTATTTTGAATGATACCGAGAAATCACTTAAATCTGTTACAATCAGAGAAAATATTATAAACATAAAGGGGGCGTGGGGCATTAACAATGTGATAACTCATAAAAAAAAAATAATGATGCACACCAAAGTTTTTGCATAAAGAGATAGTTTGTCATGTATTCCAGTAAATTTCACTATATTTGTTATGTATTCTATTCACATCCACATGTAAAATTGCGTGAAAGAATTAGGCCACTACCTTTATAGGAATCTATTTATATAATTAGGCAATAATAATTTATTGCTGCAGTTACCTATTTCGACATATTCACTATATTTTATAAAGTCATAGTTTTAAACCTATATAGCTTCATTTTCAATATTTCTGGTTATTTATTATTTTATATTGAGTTCCGCGTTATAAATTTTTTAAAAAGAAACTATTTCAGATCAACAGTAATTTCTAATACACTTTTGATGTAATTAAAATATCTATAGCTTATGTACATAATCCATTGAGGCGTTTGTGTCGCTGACAAATTACAGTTTTTAAAAAGGATACACAACACATGACGAATTTTTATACGCCCACATTTTCATGTGGACGTATTATGCCGTCGCCCCTGTCCGTCCGGACGTCCGTCCACAATTGTTTTTGGACTCTCTACAGGTCACAATTCTTGTCCGATTGCGACAAAACTTGAAATATAGGTGTATCCCGAAAAGATCTTGGCTGCTTTCGATATTGGCATGTATCGGATCGAAACTTCATGGATTATGGCCCCTGTTTGTACGAAAAATCACGTTTTTAGCTTGTGGACCCTATAGAGGTCACAATTTTGATCCGATTTTGTTGAAACTTGAAATGTAAGTTTATAACCCAAAGATCTCAGTTCCTTTCGATATTCGCGCATATCGGACAGTAACTTCCTGAATTATGGCCCTGATTGTACGAAAAATCACGTTTTTAGCTTGTGGACCCTATAGAAGTCATAATTTTTACCCGATTTAAAAAAACGCTCTATTATGTCACCGTTACACCCTAAGAATGACTGAGTTCAAATTTCGTGAAAATCAGCCCAAAATTGACAGACAAAATGGCCGCCGTTCGTTCACAAATAGCGTAAGAATATGGTTTATCAAGGTTGTGGACCCTATAGGGGTCACAATTTTTATCCGATTTTGTTGAAACTTGAAATGTAAGTTTATAACCCAAAGATCTCGGTTTCTTTTCATATTCGTGCATATCGGACCATAACTTTCTGAATTATGGCCCCTGATTGTATGAAAAATCACGTTTTTAGCTTGTGGACCCTATAGAAGTCATAATTTTTACCCGATTTAAAAAAACGTATTATTATATCACTGTTACACCCTAGGGACAACTGAATTCGAATTTATCACTGTTACACACTGAGGACGACTGAGTTCGAATTTCGTGAAAATCGGCCCAAAATAGACAGACAAATTGGCTGCCGTTCATTCAGTTCCTTTCGATATTTGCGCATATCGAATTGTAATTTCCTGAATTATCGCCCTTGATTGTAGGAAAAATCACTTTCTTGTTAGCTTGTTCTCTATCCATCTCTCGAAAATGTGGGCGTATCCTGCCTGGCAGCCGCTGGTTGTACAATCAGGGGCAATAACCCAGAAAGTTATGGTCTGAAATGTGCACATATCAAAAGGAACTGAGATCTTTGAGATATAAAGATATGTTTTAAGTACATCAAAATTGGATAAAAATTGTGACCTTTAGAGGCTCCACAACCTTCGTGACTTTTACACAATTTTCCTGAAATTCAAATTCAACCTTCATTATGGTGGAATGGTGATATATTTAAACAGTTTTTATAATCCGAAAAAAAATTGTGATCTCTAGAGAATCCAGCTAAAAATGCGATTTTTCGAACAATCAGGGGACATAATCCAGGAAGTTACCTTTGGATATACGCAATTATTAAAAGGAACCAAGATCTTTGGGTTATAAACATACATTTCAAGTTTAATCAAAATCGCATCAAAGTTGTGACCTATAGAGGGTCCACAACCTTAATATACCAGATGTGTAAGTATAGGATATTAACCTACCCAAGGTTGATATGGTAGAGAACGCGCAGGCGAAGCCCAAGCGTTCTCTACCATATCAATCCGAGGGAGAGTAGGTTTATATCCGACATATACAACGCCATTTCACCCTTAAATTTAATGGGCTCTTCTATTAAAAGGCAACAACGATTGGATAATTGCTCGATAGTTTTCGCCAAATAGCGAAAATTACCGAAGTAATCACATGCATGTGTTTGTTTATACATCGCCATTTTGGACTATTGAATTAAAAACAAAATGGATATTAATACGAAGTCAGACGAATAATTAATCCTTTTTAGCCAACATATTGACGATGGAATAGATGTGAATGCAAATATCGACGAAAATCTATCCAAAGCCTGCAGAAAATTTGGACCAAAAGGCATTCTTTTCCAAGAATTCTGACAGTGAACCATGATTGAAGGTTTTCGGTATGTTCCGAGAAGGATTTGACCGACTGTTTTAAGTGGACTGTACCCAAAAATACTTTACAAAGGAACTCTTGGGCGATAAATACTATCAAGTCGTGTAGTGTGTGGAGAAATAATCGCAATCTGGACGAAAAGAAAATTCTGAAAGATGTCTTAGACATGGATAACCGATCTAAATACATGTATGTCGATAAGTACGTCGTCTATTTCGGTCCTGAATGTTAGAAACTGTACCATAACAAATTTTAATTGTCAAAAGAATAAAAATTTATTTCTGTGTTTTTTTGTATTATTTTGATCATCTACGTCATCAGCGGTTGATATGAGCCGAATATATTGACCTGAGATGACGTCATTAGTGGTTGATATGAAATATCAACCTGTCATGACGTCATCAGCGGTTGATATGAACGAATATATCAACCTATGATGATGTCATGACAGGTTGTTATGAGATATAACTGCTATGGACATCAAAGTAAAAACTACCGCCAGTTGTATATACTTGCGTATGAGGGGCGTCCATTTTGTCCGGCAGTTCTGGCCCGATTTTCACGAAATTCGAACCCACCAACCTTGATATACCATATTTTTACACTATTAGCGTACCCAAGAGGCGGACATTTTGTCCGGCAGCTTTGGTCCGGGTTTTTTTTCACGAAATTTGAACACAACCTTCGTTACTGTGCAACGGTGATATATTTGAACGTTTTTTTAAATCGGATAATAATTGTGACATCTAGAGTGTCCACAAGTTAAAAATGTGTTTTTTCATACAATCAGGGGCCATAATCTATGAAGTTTCGATCCGATACATGTCAATATCGTAAGCAGCCGAGATCTTTTGGAGATAAACCTATATTTCAAGTTTTGTCAAAATTGGATAAGAATTGTGAACATTAAAGTGTCCACAAACAATTGTGGATGGACAGACGGATGGACAGGGGCGACGACATACGTCCAAATGAAAATGTGGGGTATAAAAACAGATAATGCAAAATGAATATATTGAACATTTCATTCAAATTTCCTTAATCTGACGAAAATATTAGCCCTTGAAGGTTTGAAAAGATATGTGCCCTGATAGTAACCAACGTAATGGTTATTTGACCATTTTTAAATTAAATCATTAAATGGCCGAACCATTCTAATCTAGCTAAAATCTGACCCATCTGATGGCATCAAGACCTGATTATGGTCTTATCATGTTAACAAATGTCTTACATAATGCTTGTTTAAATGAGCTTAAAATAATTGAAGCTTTCCACTCAATATATTATGCATTCTTGTTCTCAGCATTGCTACAGTCCTGTTTCGGAAAAAGGGTAGATTTTTCTCAATAATTACTCCTGGGGCCATGCGCTTTTCTTTGATGTTGTAGTTATGAAAATGTTTCCTAAATAAAACCACTTCCTTGGTGGACCATCTCTTTCTCTTGATTTTTAGCTTGACATCACTATTCAAACCTGCACAAAAAAGATTTTATAACCTTAGACCGACAGATTTACCTACTTGCATACAAGATGTTTCTAGTGCTTTCAAAATCTTACACATGACCCAATACGAAATTGACCAATAAACAAGATTTTCTAATACGGTCCATGAATAGATAATATTTGTGCCTTTATTAACAAACTCCATGAAAAAGTGAAAGGCTGCCAATCTGCCAATTTAGGTACCATGGTGCTCAATACTACGAAACTACACCACTAATTTTTATTTTATAAAAGAGAACTGCACAATAAATAAGTTGATTAAGACATCTAACCTTAAAAGTGCAATGTACATAAGAAAAACGGCAATCAAACGTCGTCAGATTCAGGATCACTAAGAGCAGAAACAATCTTTTTCCTTTTGCTTACTGGCTCTGAAAATATAAAGTAAAAATATAAAGTAAAAATTCTAAATCAGGACGGGGTTTACGCAAAAAATATTTAACAAGCTATCAGTGAGACTTATGTCCACCAACACAATCCCCAAATAAACAGATGACACATATTAATTAATTGCACATTTATCTTTTTGAAAAGGATCGAACAATCAAACTGATTATCTGTACTTACTCAAAGCATAAAATGCTCAGGATCAAACTCAGTCAAGGTTTTGAAGTATGGGTAAAGAAACTATACACTAAGCTTATTTTTTTTCAAACTCTTCATCAGTTAAAATCGAAGTTATCTTGTCCGAAAGCATCGACCAATGATATTGCTTTGCTCTGGTTAGCTTTAGCAGAAAATGTAATGTTAACCATTGAACATCAACACTAAGTTTAAACAGTCTACCTCAATTAAAAGCAGAGCTGTTATCTTCCAAAGTCTTGACATTCAAATTGCTTATTGCTTATTGCTACTTAATACAAGCAGAAATTTTTCATCATCAAACTTAGTTAAATTATTGATATAATGAATCTATACTAATAGTTTCATCATTCTCAACCAATTAGAACCAAAGTAATTGTGTTCCAAAGTCTCAAGACAGGCTGTGTGACAAATAAATCTAGGGCAGGGCCATACTAAAGAAAAATAAACCAACTTTTCTTATCTTATGCCCACATTGCACAATATATATATATATATAGACTATAATACCAAAAACGTCCCACTTGACACTGCCCAGTTTGCATTATATTTAATAATGTGCAGTAGGTTAACAGTTTAAGGCCCACATTGATGCCATATGCCCAAAAAGACACTAATATGATACTATATGGGTTGTCTGTCCTTTGACAACAGAGACTTTACACTTTACTGCCTATATAACATGCCCAGAATGCAATTGTTTGACTCGTAAACTGAAATTTATTGGAAGATTATCAATGTAGACAAATACATGCGTCAAACATAACTATTATGTTATCGAAATGCATAGGGGTATTGAACAAAGAAAATTAAGAAATATGGAAACCAACCCTCACCAGATTCAGGTTCAGTTAAAGGAACTTTCCTCTTCCTTCTGGCTACTGGCTCTGAAAAACAGTAAAATCATAGTTATTCTACTTAACCCTCTACGTCATTTTGACGCCATGACATCAATTTATTAAGCTTAAATAAAGGCTAACGTGAAATATTTTGTATGCCTATTTCAAAAGACTACTGCCGGATAATTATAAGTGATAGACTCTTGACACCAATCAAAATGTTGAAGGGGATAAGTTGATCTATAATTTGCACTTGTCTCTCCTTTTCATCAGAAATATCGTCTTCAGAATCAGTTTCATCGATATAGTCCGAGTCAGATTCATTCATAAGCATTTCAACCATTTGCCAGTCTTTAACCTTCTCGACATCATTAAAAAATTACGTTTTTTGTCAAAAAATGTTGAACAAAGAAATGTTTTTCTCAATGCCCTTAACAAGACAAGTTCCTGTCTGACACGCATGCGTAGCCATGTCAATTAAATACAAAACTAAATACTCAAATGCGGCTTATAACCAGCGGCTGTCAGGCAGATACGCCCACATTTTGCAAGAAAAGCATAGAGAACACGCTAAAAAAAAGGAGTTTTTCCGTACAATCAAGGGCTATAATTCAGGAAGTTACAATCCAATATGCACGAATATCGACAGGAACCAAGATCGTTTGGTTATAAACATGCATTTAAGGTTTCATCAAAATCAGATTAAAATTGTGACATCTAGAGTATCCACAACCTTGATATACCATACTTTTACACAATTTGCATATGAGGGGTGGCTATTTTGTCTGACAGTTTTGGTCCAATTTTCATGAAATTCTAACTCAACTGTTCTTACGGTGTAACGGTGATATATTCAAATCGGATAATAATTATGACCTCTAGAGGGACCACAAAACGTGATTTTTCGTACAATCAAGAGCAATAATTCAGGAAGTTACGATCGGATACGTGCAAATATCAAAAGGAACCATACATTTTAAGTTTCATGATTTTTCGTATAATCTGGGGCCATATTCCATGAAGTTTCGATCCGATACATGCCAATATCGAAAATAACCGAGATCTTTTGGTAATAAGAATTGTGACCTGTAGAGTGTGGGCGCATAAAAAAGGTTCTTTTGTGGTCGACCTGACCAATTAGCTGTATAATGTTATGGTGACTACAGTTGACAAAGATCGGTTAAGGGTTAAGCAGTTTAAGGCCCACATTGATGCTATACGCTCAAAAAGACACTTTTTTATATATATAGTCTCCACCGAGTAAGAATAACTAGAATGGCAACTCGCATTACTGCCTATAGTAACACAGCGACGCGCAATGCATCTTGGGAATTGTCTGTAATACATACACACTGACAGTTCGCGCAACGATGTTACAATATCTATATCGATGAACTAAATCTCTTTAATTTCGTACTTTTATAGTATTTTCGGTAACAAAACTACTGAGAATTGTCACATACAATCATATGTTAGTTGTGTGTGTGTGTTTCGGGAATGTATAAAACATGATTCATTTTTTTTATGAAAGACGTCAATAATTGTGACGGTTTACGAATTGTTCTATAGGCTGTAAATTATTGTAGATTTTTAAAAGATTTTATTTACTTTAAAACTAATCCAGCAAATACTTGTTGATTCGATTCCTAGATTTGAAATGTAATTTCCATACACCTTAAAATGGGCCTTTTGAAAAATCAAAGTGGCACGCCCTTTTTTGGATACAGCTTGTTTTACTCAACATGATTTATTTTTTCTCCCAAAGAAAAATGCCTTTGTCTTCTAGAGCTTATCACCACGTGCTTCTCTTATTTATGTTATGTTAATAAAGTAAGCTTTCATTAAAATATAAAATTTAAGAGATTTGGTTGTTTTTATTCTGTGATGTTTAGCGAAATTACAGACAAACCCCAAGATGCAGTGTGCGACCTGCTTTGTATGCAAATGAAGCAGTTGCCACTCTGGCTCTGGTTATTTTACTCTGTGTAGTTTCTAATAACAAAAACGTCCCACTTGACACTGCCCATTTTGCTTTATATTTAATAATTTGAATAGGTTAAACATGCATTATACAAGAGCTAAATCGGCCTATTGTAGGTCTTTCTTTAGACCTGAAATGTTATATAAACTATTAATTAGACATTAATTAACGTATCCAGACCATAATCAACTCTCGATGTCAACGCTAGCCTGCGATATTTGTTGGATTATGATACGATTTGCTGCATAACTTTCCATCTCGATTTAACGATTAAATGGATAATCGAGACTATGATTTTTGTCCTACTGACCTTAGTAATGATGACTGAGGCTATGCAGAAATTTCGATCGCTTATTTCTTGGTTCATAGTGGATCAATTTGACTGAAATTTTCAGCAAATTGCCTTTACATTATTTAGTTTTTAACTATTACAGTGAGAACTGCCAACTCGTTATCTAATCTCCCATAATGTATCTTTAACAGTTTAAGGCCCACATTGATGCCATATGCCCCCCAAAATACTGATATGATACTATATGGGTTGCCTGTACTTTGACAACAGAGACTTTACACTTTAGTGCCTATATAACATGCCAAGAATGCAACTTTTGCTTGACTCAGAAACTGAAATTTATTGGAAAATTATCAAAATATATTTTATCCCACCCTACATACTTTAGACACATCAAAAAGACATTGTCAAAATATTACTTACCCACTTCCGAATCTGATTCACCTGTATCTGTACCAATTTCACAACCGGTATCACTTTCATGTGTCAATCCCTGTTGCTGAACAGGCTCTGAATTAAAAATAAAAGATGAAATTTAAAGAGTGTGTTAAGAGTCATTCCATGAGAAAACCATGCAAAATCGTCCAAAATCGGGAAGATGGGGAGTCGGCAGATCGAGTTCATCTCCGGGGGATTTTATGGACTCCCCCTGACTACTTCACAGCCAGAAGGGCCGATGTCAAAATTTCACCGTTATTGAGAAACAGCCTCTGGGTGATTTTTGGCCTATTTTGCCATTTTTCAGGTCATTTTTGGTCAATTTTCAGCCACCTATTGTGGTGACTCTAGGGTTTGGATGAAAATGGTGGTAACTGGTGATGTTAGTGGGGGTCTTCCTGTGCCCCAGTGTGAAGACCATGAAGTCGCATCTATTCTCTGGGAGCAATGATCAGCAAAATTGTAAGATATGGTGAATACAACATAAAATATACACCTGCGAAGATTAGCTCTATTTTCTATGATGCGGGGGTAGGTCAAAATATCGAAAAGGTTTTATGCACAGCTCGACTCCCTCTATCGATATAAGAAATAAAATCTCTGTCACCTCTCTTCAATCAAAGCGAAATCATAAGTCAAAGTTGGTTAATTTTCCCTTTTGTAAATCTCTCATTCTCTATGAAATGACCAACTACTTTCATTCAGGGTAAGCCAGCTATCTCCGTTCCTTCACCAAATCATCGCCCGCGCTCACTGGTATCAGCTTGAAACTCCCTCGAGCAAGACTAGTCTCTTTGATGAGGCTTGATATCCAATCCAACATGGATGTGCCCGAAAGCGCGCAAAATTGCAGTTTTTCCTCATGTTTGGCCAGTAACCAAGAGACCAAGAGAATCACTTCATACGATTGAAAAAATGTACTAAGGACATTAAGGCCAGTAAATGTGGTATATATCCCAGATATGACCAAGAGAATCACTTCATACGATTGAAAAAATGTACTAAGGACATTAAGGCCCACCTTTTAGCACATCACATAGCAATAAGTGATGTGAGAACCGAATGGAAGCTGATTTCTTGACGAAGCTGCATTAAATGGAATATTCCAAACGGATGCATGCTGCCACATCTAAGGAGAAGCCATACAAAGACCACGTTGTGTCACTTGGAATCAACTTATACCTATTGGAACGGCTAAGTGAAATAAAATACTATTGAAAAAAAAAGAGGGAAGAAATTGTGTCTTTGAAATATCGATGGAAACCCTGTGTGTATGCTCGACCACAATCAAATTAGCAGGAAACAGTTGTGCGGTGATACTCCAGTTGACTAAGTTAAGCGATTCCTCAAACCAGCTGCATTGTGTCTGATATAGCTGTAATACCTTTACTAAAGGCCAGCTCTCTGCTTTTTTTTAAACTTGGCAGCATTAAAAAATTCTTGTTAATTTTAGAATTTTTTCTCCTATTTTATGTATGCCGGAAATATTATGCTGCCCATAATGAGGAAATGGGCCGTCAAGAAAGCCAAGTTCCTACACTGCCTCAGGGTAGTTCCTCAAATAAAAAAATATGGCATAGGGTAAAAAATTCAACTGCATCATATGATCATTTTCGGCGCCAAAAATGAATCTTGCTGGGCCTTTTAAAACTGAATTTGTACATAAAGGACATTTCTATCAGGGGCCACCTCTCAACATATTCCAATCTGATTAAAATACAGATCTATATTTCGTTTCAGTTTTTTTTTATACTTTCGATGACCTACACTACATGAAGATGTGACTGGTTGTTGCGATAGGTCACGTCAGAGGTCATACGAGCAGCAGTTGAGCCTATTAGTCAGACATTTGATTAACCAATCAGCATTGGTGCTTCTGGGGGCTTACCCACAGTTCCGTGCAAAACATGCCTAAAGCTCGCCGTAACATATCGTTTCATTGGCTAATACCTCCCAGAATTCAGAACACGTCAATGATAACAACTCTTTCAGATCCTAGTGTAGTAAAACAAAATTTTAACTATAAAAACGAAACGAAATAGGATCTGTGTTTTAATCAGATTGAAAATATTCTTAATATCAACCCCAACGTATATGGGCAATTGAAAAATCTCTTGTATCAAGACTCCGGATGATGGATTGACTGGGACCAGTTTCAGAAAATTTTACAAATGTTCTCCCTTGTAAATAGTACATTACAAAATAAGTTTAGTAAATTATTTTATATGGTTTGGTTCTTTCAGGTTACTGTTGGAACTGGTGACATCTCTCCCACTGCTACACCATCTGCAGCTACTGGTAGTGCTGCTTACATCCATCATCACTCTACTGCTACTACACCATCTACAGCTATGGGTATTGCAACTGCCACGCTGCCTCTTCCTTCTGCAACCGCTATTGGTAGCGACACCAGTGACAGTAATGACTACCAATAATAGGCCTAGATCAGGCATTGATGATTAAATGTGAATCTTGAACCAATCCCAGTATTCTAATTCTGATTTGTTTTGATGTTGGGTTTCAGCGAATTTTTAGCAACCTTCCTAAAGGTTTTGCATGTAATCATCATTACCTGATCTAGGCCTATTATTGATAGTTCTAAGTCATTACTGTTACTGGTGTCGCTACCAATAGCTGTTACAGAAGGAAGAGGCAGCGTGGCAGTTCTAATACCCATAGCTGCAGATGATGTAGTAGCAGTAGATTGATGATGGATGCAAGCAGCATTACCAGTAGCTTCAGATGATGTAGCAGTGGGAGGGATGTCATCAGTTCCAACAGTAACCTGAAACAACCAAACCACATAAAATAATTTACTAAAATTATTTTCTAAGTATTTGCAGGGGTCTCTGTTACCAGCCAGTCAATCATTCGCAGACTCAATGCAAGAAAATTTTCCATGGCCCATACACGTTGGGGTTGATATCAACAATATTTCGAGAGATGGCCCCTGATAGAAATGTCCTTCATACAAATTTAGTTTTAAAGGGCATGACAAGATTTATTTTGGGCTCTGAAAATGATCCCATGACGAAGTTTAATTTTTGACCCAACGTCATACCATTTATTTGAAGAACTAACCTGAGGTGGTGTAGGAACTTGGCTCTTTTGACAGCCCATTTCCTCACTATGGACAGCATAATGTTTACATCCTTTTGGAATATTCCATTTGAGACCCAGGTGGTAGCGATGGGCAGCACATATCACCTTTCCATCTAGAATCGACTTATCAAGATCAAAAATCCCACTTCATCAAGAAATCAGCTCCCATTCGGTTCTCAATTCACTTATTGCTATGTAATGTGCTAAAAGACGGGCCTTAATGTCCTTAGTACGCTCTGTCAATCTATTAAGTCATTTCAATAATTTCATTGCTCATATCTGGGATATGTACCACATTCTATGGCCAAAAATGAAGAAAAAACACAATTTTCTGCGGTCTCGGGTGCGGCCATCATGGATTGGATACCAATCATCATCAAAAGAGATTAGTTTTGCTCGACTGGGTTTTAAGCTGCTACCTGCGAGCGCTGGCGAATAATTTGGTGAAGAAACGGAGAGAGCTGGCTTACCCTAAATGAAAGTAGTTGGCCATTTCATAGAGAATGAGAGATTACAATAGGGAAAATTCACCAACTTTGGCTTATTATTTCGCATTGATTGAAGAGAGGTGACAGATTTTATTTTTATACGCCCACATTTTCATGTGGACTTTTATTGTCGTCCCCCCTGTCCGTCCGTCCACAATTGTTTGTGAACAGTCTACAGGTCACAATTTTTATCCGATTTCAATGAAACTTGAAATATAGGTTTATCACCCTAAGATCTTGATTCCTTTCGATATTGGCATGTATCGGACTGTAACTTCATGTAACACTGTAGAGGTCACAATTTTTATCCGATTTGGTTTAAACTTGAAATGTATGTTTATAACCCAAAGATCTCGGTTCCTTTTGCTATTTTCGCGCATATCGGAACGTAACTTCCTGAATTATGGCCCCTGATTTTACGAAAAGTCACGTTTTTAGCTTGTGGACCCTATAGAGGTCATAATTTTTTTCCGATTTAAAAAAACGTATTATTATATCACCGTTACACCCTAAGGACTGCTGAGATCAAATTTCGTGAAAATCGGCCCAAACTGACAGACAAAATGGCCGCCCTTCGTTCTCAAATAGCGTAAAAATATGGTATATCAAGGTTGTGGACCCTATAGAGGTCACAATTTTAATCCTATTTTGATGAAACTTGAAATGTAAGTTTATAACCCAAAGATCTCAGTTCATTTCGATATTCGTGTATATCGGACTGTTACTTTCTGAATTATGGCCCCCGATTGTACGAAAAATAGTGTTTTTAGCTTATGGACCCTATAGAGGTCATAATTTTTATCCGATTTAAAGAACTGTATTATTATATCACTGTGTATCGCAGGTGTATATTTTCGGTTTTAGTCGCCATGTTACAATTTTGCTGATCATTACACCCCGAGAATAGATGCGACTTGATGGTCTTCACACTGGGGCACAGGAAGACCCCCACTAACATCACCAATCACCACCATTTCCATCCAAACCCTAGACTCGCTACAATAGGTGGCTGAAAATTGACCAAAAATGACCTGAAAAATGGCAAAATTGGCCAAAAATCACCCAGAGGCTGTTTCTCAATAACGGTGAAATTTTGAGATCGGCCCTCCTGGCTGTGAAGTAGTCTTGAGGAGTCCATAAAATCCCCCAGAGATGAACTTGATCTGCCGACCCCCACCTTCTGCATGGTTTTCTCGTGGAATGACTCTTAATTAGACAAGGGAAATTCAAACGATCTGTTAGTTGAGTACTTGCATTCAATCTCTATATTCTAAACAAAACTTGAGAACTTTGAAATACTAGAAAACAGATTTGAAAGCTCTGCTTCTCAAATATTGCTCACTAACAATTTAAATTGATAATGTGTTAAGTCTGAAATGGAAGGTCACAGAATGCTGATCATATTTGGTTTGTCTTCTCATGCCCAATGCTTTAAACCAAACGAACAGGGACAACAGCATAAATTGTCCACATGAATAAAAA